TGAGCCAGGCAGTGAACTCATCAAGGAAGGAAGGATAGTGTCATGGAGGTCACTAGAATCTTGATTAGGGAATAAATATGGATTGATTCAACCCTATAGGAGAAGGGATTACTGAGTGATGGAGATAGGAGAGCCTGAAAGTGGCAATGAGGGGCAAGGAATAATCCAACCCGTCTACATGACCATCTAGTTAGGAAGAATAAGTGAAACGTTCAAGCAGTTCTTGAACATGGGAGCTGGGGAAACTGTATTATTGGGATGGCCAAGTCTCAAAAACTGAAAGAAGATGGAGGGAGCAAAGGGGGGAAAAAAGATGAAATGAAGTTTGTTACCTGTTGAGTAGCCATTCTAAAGAGCATAATGGAAGGGTTGGACAGCTTTAGAGTAGGAAGTTGGGAGGGAAGGGTTGAGGAGCATGGGAATAAGGCTTCAGTCAGTGGAAGATAGAGAATGACGTTTGCACAATGGCAGCTAGGCATTCAGAATCACTGGGAAGGGCTGGTCTGACACGTTGAAAAGCAGTTAATAAGGATTGAATTCATTTAGTTTATCATTGTCCACAGGTATTCAACCCCCAAGATTTGTCCCATAGCTTCAGGAAGGGGGGAAGGGAGTCCCCACGGGGCCATAAATGATGATTGCTTGGAGCTCAAGGCAGGGCCTGAGGAAGTGAAGGTGGCAGCAGAAAGTACCTTCCTAGAGTGATAATGAGTGATGATGACTATAAGTAATACAAAGGCATGCAGTCTCAGCAAGGTCTAAACAGATCTAGTTTTTCTGGACTTTTCCTTTTTTAAGAAAGAGAAAATATCTTTCTATATTCCCCTCATCCTCAAATTGAGTCCTTCCAGGATGCTTTGAAGATTTTGAAGATCTCCCCTACTAGAACTTGGAAGAAGCTTAAATTACCAGGCTAGAAGGCCTTGCAAATCTAGAGGGCCTAAAACATAATTTACTGCAATTATCTTGAAGCTACCCTTCTTAAGGATACAGACCATGCTCACATTGGGGGAGGGAGGTTGTGCCTCACAATTAAACCTATATATGTTTCTAGAAGCATCCCCAAAAGCACCGCCAGAAGTGTGAAGGCCAACCTGCGCTCACCTTTCTCTGCTTTGCTGATCTCCCCCTTCAGTGAGATCACCATTTTCCAATGCTTCAAGAATACACCAATTGTTCTGGGTTGGGTCTGACTCAGGCCAGTCTCTTGGTAGTTTAAGTTTGATGTTAGAATGGAACAATATATTCATGGGTCATTCAGCAGTTAACAAAAGGAGATTTACTTAGTCATAGCAGGAGAAGAATATTCAACAAGTATAGACATTCTACAAGGGTAATCCTTGAGTTGATCCAGCCTAGTCATGATTCACTGGTCAAGAATCAAGGACCCCCTGGAGCTCCTTGTGGCTGCTTTGTATTCAGGCAATGAGGAAATGTTGTCAACAGTCTGAGCACTTAGTCCCCTGAGCCAACCAAGTCTCAGAAAATGTCTCAGTATGTTTTAAGGAAAAACTAGTCTAACCTCCATCAGGGTAGAGGGCTAGGATATTATTCCCAGCACAAAAATCTGGGATCTGAACTCAGGTCTTCCTGGTTCTGAGATTATCTACAATTCCACACTGTTCAATATGGACCGATAACCAAGACAAAGAAGAAAATTTAGTATATAAATTTATATACTACATATATTTATATAAAATTATGTAAATTGTTTTCAGTTTTTTGCACAAGCAAAATCAATGCCATATAAATTAGAAGGGAAACAACTAGAAACTAAACTGGGAAAATATCTTTGCAGCAGATTTCTCTGATAAAGTTCTAAGAGCCAAGACATTTAGAAGACTGATACAAATTTCAAGGACAAGAGCCTTTCTCTAATAGATAAGAAGTCAAATCCAGCCTTAGACACTTACTAGCTATGTGGAATTGGGCAAGTCACTTAACCTTGTTTGCCTCAGTTTCCTCATCTATTAAATGAGCTAAAGAAGGAAATGGCAAACCACTCTAGGATCTTTGCCAAAAAACAAGAACAACAACAATCCCCAAATGGGGCCACAAAGATTCAAATACAACTGAAATGAATGAACAACCAAGGTAGTGTTAAAATGATGAAATGTAAGCAGTCAATAACCAAGGAACAATCCTAAAAATTACCAGTAAGAGTGATGTACTTAGCCTATTGACAGAGATTCCTAAAGATTAAAATATCACTTGTTGGAGGATACTGTGGGGAAATGGATATACCAATGCACCAGCAGTTTGGTACTCTACCCTAAATATCACCAAATTGTTCAAGCTCTTGGACCCAGGGACACCTGTCCTGGGCACGTACCTATGTATTGTCAAAATCTCAAAGACAAAGGAAAAGGTTCCATGTACACAAAAATATTTATAGTGTTATACTGAGAAACTAGCGAGTTGACCCAGACTAATTTAAATTGTGGACTTTATTATATTAGCGCACGGCTGCCAGGGGTATTCACATCCAAATCAAGCAGCCCCCATCAGGGGTCGAGCTAGGATTTATATAGGGAGTATACAGGACAGGAAGTGGGATGGATCTTTGAAGTCTGGCAAGAGGAAGAGGTTTTTTTTTGGCTGGTCAAGGACACCCCTCTCCCTTTGTCTGGATATTATAATGCTCTGCAAACTTTCTCACAATGGAGGTTTCCAGAGGTATGATCTGAGGGCTGCGGCCTGAGCAGCCAGATAAGGGTCTTGCTAAGGAATTTGGAGTTTTCCATGGCCTAAAGGGTTCTACTACCTAAATGGTAAAATAATGTTCTGCATTACAATAGCAGAATTTTTGTTGTTGTTGTTGCTGCTATAGCAAAGAACTGGAAACAAAGCGGGTTTTGCAGTGCCCACTCTGCATCTGCTGCTCTGACTACTTTCAGCTTTACCAAACAAGATGCTCCTCTCAGTTTAAGCTCATCACCTCTGATCTCATCACCTGCTGCTGACTCAAGCTTTGGCTTACACTACCTCTCTTAGCCTCCTCTCTGATTGGAGGACTGGCAGGGAGAGCACTAAACTCTTCCCAATACCTTCCTTTATAGAGGACACAAACAGGACTTTTGCTCAATCCACCCCGTATCTGCTGCTCTACCTTACCTTAGCTCCACTGACCAAAATGACCCTGCCCTCCCCCCTTTCCTTCCCCTCCCCACTTCTCTGCCTTCTTTTGTGTATTGTCTCCCCACAACAGACTGGGAGCTCCTTTTGGACAGAGACTGTCTTTCGCATTGGTTATTATATCCTCAGCTCTTGGCATATATTAGGTACTTAATAAATGTTTATCAGATTCTATTGGCATCAATACTGGGCACCAATCCATTGAGAAATGGATTGACAAATTATGGTACACGGATGTAAACTAAACCTTACTGCATCATAATACGTGTCAAAAGAAATGTACTTAGAGAAACTTGGGAGGATTTGTGAGAACAGATGCAGAGTGAAGGCAGGAGCAAGAAGTCATTTTTCACAATAATATCCAAAAAAGTAACTTTTGAAAGATTTTAGAAGTCTTCATCAATGCAATGAACCACCATGACTGGATCTGGGTGTTCGTGTGCGGATACAAAAGAAAAAAGAACGAAAGAAAAGAGCATCAGTGGAACATTTGAAAAATTACACAGAGGAAAGTGGAAAATAAATGCCAAAGGGGACACAAGCTAGGGAATTTTATTATAGTGTGTTCAATTTAATGTGAACTTCAGAAAAAAGCAAGCAGTATATGGGCAAAGTTCATAGTTTCATACAGAATCTATTTTGTTCTCCTTTGGGTGTTGAAATGTTTGTGATGGTTGATGTTTTAAGTTGACAACAGCAACCACGAAATAAGAGAATTTTTTTTAAATTGAATGACTTGAACTTTAAACAGCATTTCCACCCTTCTTTCAGTCCTCACCTTCTTCCTATTGCTCAAAGTCAAACAGCACAAAATGTTCCCGGGGCAAGTGTGCTACGCACAGGTTTAAATGCCACTATCAAGGCCAAGGCAGGAAGCAATGGACTCGATGTGTGAGAAAGAATTCACTCTGGGAGTCATCCCCAGTGCATGTCTTTTGGTTACTTCTGTTTTCAATTAATTATTCCTATTAACTAGATATTAAACCTAGAAGAGTGTTGTTAGCACACAAGAGCAAAGTCCCCATTGGCCCCATATTAATTCTATCTCTGAGGACAGTTAAAATTATACGAAAGTTCCATGATCTCACCAGAAGAAATACCTCAATGAATCCAAAGTGTTACTGTCATTATTAAAAACAAGAATATTTACATAATGTATTGCTAGTAATTAAGCAATGGGACAACACTATATTTATATATATTTTATTAGACCACTTTTTTCCTTTCTTACAACATTATATGTGACAAGAATTCCATGATCTTTCTCAGCAATTATTTTATTAAAACAATTCCCATTATGCCAACCAAAAGATGTCTCTTATCTTCTCCATATATTTAGCAGTAGAGGTTGCTGACTCTAGTTACTTTGGAAAATAAAAATGAAAATTGGATTTGAAATTCTAAGATGCGTTTCTTCTAGTTAAATACACTATTGTTGGTGTGTCTGACTCTGTGATTCTGTGGACCAAAGCACACCAATGCTGTCCCTGGGGTTTCTTTGGCAAAGACACTAGAGTGATTTGTCATTTCCTTCTCCAGTAGATTAAGGCAAACAGGGGTTAAGTGACCTGTCCAGGGTCACACAGCCAGTAAGTCTCTAAGGCTGAATTTAAACTCAGGTCTTCCTCAATCCGGGCCCAGAGCTCTATCCATTGACCACCTTCCTGCCTGGACCTAAGCACCTTGCTATAGTCCAAATCCTGACTGAAACACTTACTAGTCGTGTAACCCTGCACACATCTCCCTCCCAGGGTTGTGCGAGATAAAATTTGTAAATATTTGAAAATCTCAAAGTACTATAAAAGTGCTAGCTATTGTTATTATTGTTTGCTTAAGTAGGTTAGATTTATTATTATCTAGAGCACCTCTTCTTGTAAATTAGGTGCAGCAGACCAGACACTGGCTGGCCTTGGAGTCAGTGTACTGCTGAACTGAAATCCTGCTTCCATCACCTGATACATTTCTGACTGGAGGCCTGGTTATCTCTCTAGGTCACGGTTCTTCACCTGTAGAAAGAAATGGTTGAACTAGATGACCTTGAAGGTTTCTTCCAGTTCATAATCTATAATCCTATGAACATGTGTTTTCTGTCTTTCAGCATCTTTGGATTTTGTCATGAGTTGACCACATCTTTGTTTGTTCTTTTGTGAAGAGTGTAATTTGGAGGAATGCTGATGCATTTTATGTTTCAGACTTGAAAAATCCCAGACACAATATAGAAATACATACTATCCCCAAAGGATTTAGTTCCTGGCAGTAACAAAGACCCTGAGAAATGGAGATTTTTTGGTACTCATTAGTTTCTTTATTAAAACCTCTTCCCTGTATCTTTAGGCAAAATTTTGCAGATTTTTAATATTGAATTTGGAAAAAAAATTTTTTATCAAAATCAAATTCCTGGTCCTGTCAGTGGGGCATGAACAATCTAAATATATACATTTCCTTTTTCTTAGTTACATAGAGATGACCTTGTTAAAAATCATACCTGGGTGGTTGTTTTACATACAGGGATTATATTCTTTAAAATCAGATGCCTTTAGGATAACTGTAAAAAGAAAGCTGAACTTTGGTGAATTTGGCTATAAGCAGTAAATGACATGAGTTTTATTTTATATATGTATGCATTCAACAAACTTTTTTTAAAACACAGACAGTTCCTGCTTTATGTAAATTCGAACTATACAAATTCTATTAGAAGTACACGTTCCTAAACGACACTTATGTTAATTTTACTGTGTGCTTTACAGTACTGTGAACTTTCTCTCTCTCTCTCTCTCTCTCTCTCTCTCTCTCTCTCTCTCTCTCTCTCTCTCTCTCTCTCTCTCTCTCTCTCTCTCTCCTCCTGCTCCTTCACTCTGAGCTCAGCAGCCTCCCCACCTCTTCACACACACACACACACACACACACACACACACACACACACACACCCTTCCAAGAGAAATCAGAAGAACGGCCCCCCCCATTGCCACCAGATCTGGGGCTTGACTTGAGAACTCCAGCAGAGAGGAGACCTTTGCCCCACTCTGCCCACTTCCCCATGTGTCTGTCCCTTTCATCTGTCTTCCATCCATCCATTCATCCATCCATCCATCCATCCATCCATCCATCCATCCATCCACCCTCCCCTGGCCCCTGTGTGCTCTCACTTCTCTGTCTCTGACCCCCATTTGTCCTTTAACAGTGTGCCAGCCCCTCCCTCCTCAGATACATGACCCCCTTCCTGCCTCCCTCCTTCCCTCCTTCCCTTCAGTGGACAATTTGCATTATACACAATCACTTTACATAGAGGTCCAGTCTACTTACATAAAGTGAGAACTGTACTGTGTATCATGAGAAGGACAGTGTAACATAATTGAGATTTGCTTTGGAGTCAAGGGGATCTGAATTCAAGACCTGACTCTGACATACAGTTGTTGCTGTTTCTCCTTCATTCACAAAGAAAATCAGTGATATCAGGAGGATGATGTCTTGACTTGCAAGTGGACTGGATTTAAGTGAGGCAGAGTTGTACAAAGTCATCAGCCTCACTCTCTCCTCCAGAATCAACAGGGTCCAGTGGCAACACATAGGTCAGGACAGCTAGTGATGGCCCTGGATGCAGTGGGAGACCTTGGCTTTTTTAAGCTAATGTCTTTCCAGGTCTCAGTTTGCCTGAAGCAACACCCATTCAGTGATTAAAGGCTTGGTAAGAATTGAGGCAAAAGATGGCCTTCATAAAAAAATCAGTCTGGGTAGGGAAGACCCTCAGAGTTTCTGGCTAGAACAGAAACAATTGCTATTTACATTTACTCTGAGCCATCAGAACCCAAACAACGAACAAAGGATTGGGCAGGGACCTATTATTGACCAATCAGTGAAAGCCAGAATGATTTGGGTTTAAAGCCATGGTCAGGTAGCTCCATTTGAATCTCAGTGGGCTTTAACAAAGTCTGATTTTTCAGGGCTCTATTTCAGGATATCACAAATGAAAAGTACATGAGGCAAAATGTGTGTGATCATGAGCAAACCATTTAATTGCTCGGTACCCTAAACAATTCTCTAAGACTACTGAGTTACAGAAGAGTTGTCTGCATCTATTCATAAAGTGAATTTCAGCAGGAATTCCCCACAACAATGACATCAAGGTAGTAGATTTAAAAACTAGGGTTCTGTATCGTGCTAGATGCTAGAGAAGAATATTTTGCACTGCTTATTAGCTCATAGATTCAGAGAAGCCAGAAGGACCCTCAGAGGATAGCTGGTCTAACCCCATCATGTTACAGATGAGGAAGTGAACCCCAGAGGGCTTCAATGGTTTCTTTGCTCAAAGTCACATAGAAATTAAGCAGAAAATTTCAAATCCAGCACCCTGAAAAGCATGTGCTTATCGTGGGGATTCTAATAAGTGAAATTTAACAAATCCAAGTAAGTTAAAGCTTTTGACAATTATATTCTGTCTCGCTGCTTACCAATAGCTACTAGTGACCTTGAAGATGACTGGAACAGTGAGGCCTTTTGAGAGGCAGAAAACCTCATGACTCTGTTGGAGTCTGATGAAACAGAAAGGGCAGCAGCCATCCTCAGTAGAACTACTTCATGATTTCACTTCCACCATGTAGCAGGACTTTATGGTCCAAGGGCGCCATCTGCTGTCAAAAGTACCACAATGACCCGCAGCAATAAAATGACATTCATATAAAAAAAGGAATGGAAAGCTGGGAAAGTATTTGAAACACATTGTACAAGACCTTCATCTGGCTGAAACTAGAGCTTCTCATCCACGTGTATTCCACACATATTTCTGGAGCTGTTCAAACAAGTGGAACAAGAATAGTTCTTCTTTAGGATGCAATCATCTCCAAAGCAGTTTGTATCTTGTCAAGGACCATGCCCCTCAATTAGAAGCTTTTTGTTCTTGCTTTTTGGAGTCAAAGCCCTCTCTCTAACTGTCACCCTACTCAGTCACTTCTTGATGTTTCCCTTTCTGACCCCTCCACTGTAGGCAGGGTCCTCCTCTTGCTGACTTCTGCAGATTTTCATTTTCTTGACTCCATGCATTTGAACATCTTTCCCTCCTCTTCCTTTTCTGTGTCATTTCAAGTGTCTTGCCTGTTTTCAACATTTGACTCCATTTTATTTCCTCCAAGAAGCCTTTCTTGTGAATGGCAGGGCCAGGAGGAAGACATGACCTTGGTGTCTTGGACTCAGCCTTAATTCCTGTGGTTTTTTTCCCCTCCCATTTATCTTCACCAGAGACGAAAAGAATTCGTGTTGGAAAAAAAAAAATGGGGTCGATCAGTCTTGGGAAATCTGAGGACTTTATAAAAGAGAAAGGAAGATTTGCTGCTGCCTCTCTGTTAACCTTGCTCCATCTTTTTGCCCCTGGAACCAGCCCTGGAATCAGCCTGCATTGTGACAGATGGACCTTTCATCACAACTGACTGGGAACTAGGCTCCACCTTACTTCCTGGTAAACGTTTCAAAACCATACTGCCTGCTTTCCAATAACTAATAGTCAATAAACATTTATTAAGCATCCACCAGGACAGACATCTGCTGAAACTGGAGGCTTTCAGCTGAGACTGAGCTAAGGACTATGATTGGGTGCTAGAGCAAGAAGTCTAGATTCAATATAAAGGACGTTGATACTGTTCAACAGGTGCCAAATGGAAACTCTGTCTCTTACACTCCAGAGTAGGAATAGATCCTTAATTTCTATTTTTGGCACCAAAAAGCTGCTGTATTTTTGTATTATGGGTCCTTTTCCTCTTTGTTTTATTTCTTTAGAGGTACGAGTATAGTAATGGCTTCACTGGGTCAAAGGGGCATGCACAGCTAAGCAACTTTCTGGGCATAGTTCCAAATTGCTTTCCAGAATGGCTTCACAAATTCACAGCTTCACCAAGAGTGCATTAATGTGCTTGTTTTGTTTCTCCTCCCTCCCCCACCCCCGTAACATTCAGCATACTCTGTTGGAGTTGGAACAGGTGCCACATGGCAGCTCTGTTTCTTACATTCCAGAGCTAAGTTCAGATCCACTGAGAATTATGGAGGGGACCTGTTCCTAAGCACGGTGCATTAGGGCAAGGAGCAGTAACATGACTGAGACTATATTCTGGTAATGAGCAGGAAGAAAAGCTGGCAGCATCTGGGTGGCCCAGTACCTAGAACAGAGTCTCAGATGTAGCCCCAAGAGTGGTCTGAAGCCTGAAGTCAAGAAGGGTAATGAGTTCTGACCAAGCAAAAACCTCCAGAGCTTTCCAGCTGGATGACCTGGGCTGGGATAAGTAGCAGCAAGCAGTCTAATGGAGCTACAACCAAAGGTGAGTCCACAGTGGTGCTCAAACCCAAACCTGGATCAGAAACTTGCAAAGACATAAATCACACTTCACTCTGGATCAGACTACTCTGGGCACACTGAAAGCTTGAAAGAGCCCAGCCTGAAACACCTGGGAGATTCTGAACTCAATACAATACTCAAAGAAAGCACCAGCAATATTCAAAGCAATTCAAGACAGAAATAAGCAAGACACAGATTCACTCCAGAAATGAGTAGAGCTAACCCTAACACAAAATCCAAATCCCAGGAGCAGGGCTGGAAGAAAGAGTAACCGAAACAGAATCTAAACAAAGAAGAGCTATTACGGTGGCAGAGATGTCCAAGACAAAAACCTGGAAGAAAAAGAATGTCTCCAAAACACTGACAAGCAAAACTTCAAAGGAAAATACAGCTTGGACCTAAATTCAACTAGAATTTCTGGAAGAAATGAAGCAAAAGTTGAAAAGAAGAGTTAACCATTACATAAAATGAGAGGGTTAAAGGAAAGAATTAGAAAAGAAATGAGAGCTATGAGGGAAAGACTTATCAGGTGAATTAATAGCTTAGCAAAAAAAAAAAAGGTACATAAGCTTATAGAAGTAACAGACTCCTAAAAAATATATTCCTCACAGGTCTTGGAGAGGGGATACTTATATATTTGCTCTTGTTACATAACTTTGAAGGAAATATTCCTTTGTAAAAAAAAAACTAATCTGACTTTTAAATACTTAAATGGAATTAGAGTGCAGGAGACCTCTAAAGTTGGGGTAATATAATCAGTGAGGGCTTGAGTTAATGACAAAGATTTCCAGTGAACTCTTTTAAGGATACTATAGAACCATAGAGGAGAAGGGAAATGTAACATATCTGACATTCAGGCAGTGTTGTCTAGGGTAGTCATTGTTAAAATTACATAAAATTTAAATTTTTGTACAAAAAAATGTAACAAATTAGAAGGGAAATAGTTAAATGGAAGAGGGTGGGGGATCTTTCTAGCAAGTTGTACTGACAAAGATCTCATTTCCAAGATACATAAGGAACTGATTGAAATTTATAAGAATGAGAGCCATCTCCCAATGGATAAATGCTCAGAGGATGAGAACAGGCAATTTCCTAAGGCTGAAAATCAAGTTATTGAAAGCTATATTAAAAAAATGCCTCGAGTCAATCATAATTTTTCTAATTATGCAAATTAGAGAAATTCCAAGTTTCTACTTCATATTTATCATGTTGGCAAAATAGATTTAAAAAATAGAAAAAGGGAAATGATGAATGTTAGTGGGCATGTGGGGACATGAAGATAAAGAGAAGAAACAAAAGAGATATATTCATGTACTCTTGGTGGAGCTGTGAATTAGTGCAGTCATTCTGGAAAGTAATTTGGAGCTATCCCCAGAAAATTATTAAACTGTGCTTACCCCTCTGACCAAGTGATACCATAACTAAACTTGGCCCCCTAACAAAATCAAACAAAGAAGAAAAAGACCCATAATATAAAAATATTTATTGGCAACTTTTTGTGGAAACTAGGAATCTGCTCATCAAATGGGAAATGGCTGAATAAATTAGAATATACTAATGTAAAAAAAAATAATACATTAATGTAACACAATATTTTTGTGCTATAAGAATGAAGGTGGTAGTTTCAGAAAAAAAGTTAGGAAGACTTATTTGAACTGATAAAGTGAAGCAAGCATAATCAGAATAATCGATAAAAATAACCAAAACAATGTAAGGACAAACAACTTTGAAAACATTTAGAACTCTGATCAAAGCAATGATATGACTCAAGGTGAAAGGCGCTGCCACCTCCTGACAGAGAGCTGATGGTCACCAATTGCAAATCAAATCATTTTTTTTTAACATGACCAGCATAGGAATCAGGTTTGTTTGACTGTGTGTGTGTGTGTGTGTGTGTGTGTGTGTGTGTAGGTCTGTTTTTTCCTTTTTTCCCCCAATAGGCAGGGAGGTAAGTGGGATAAAAAAATTATATTTTTATTAAGTAAAAAAAGTTAAAACCTGAAAAAAAGGGTCAAGGATATCTAGTCTTAAGTTTCAGAAATGCTTCTGAACTGCATTGGCAGAGGAAGTTCTCTTATATAGGAGTGCTCTCTTCTGATGAAATCACGCATACAGTCCTTCTCCTGGAAAGTTATAAAAATATGAATCAAATACTGTCTTTTGTTCATGCTCTACCAGGTAAGGTCCCTCCACTTGTAAAATTTCTCTTTTCCCTCTTTGAGCTCTATTCTCCACTCTACCCTCTCCCTTTCTTTCTCAGAAGTATTTGAATAACAAAACCCATACTTTAGCAGAGCAGTGGATATCCATTTTATCTTAGACAAAGTGACCTTTTAAACAACAAAACAAACTCAAGAAATAGATTTGGAAAAGTGGCTTATCCCTTTCCCAATACAGTGAGAGTGAAACAAAGCATGGGAGCCAGTGGACAATCACCAGTTCTAGTCTTAGTAGCATTAAGGGGCTCTTATAACTCTTTAAGTTTATCCGCATGTCTCTTGCTTAACCCAGTTCTTGTTTGTTTTATCCTTCGTGGACTTCTCTCCAGTTTGTTCACCACTGGCTGCACCAGTGATAGTTCCTTTTCCTTCTAATGAATGTGCTTGCATCTAGTTCCATACTCTCCTCTCAGTGGGCTTGAATCTGGTAGTGCTTGTTAGCATTAGAGTTTGTTCTATGCTAGCCTCGACTTCAAGAAGCCCAGTACAATGAGGCTTTGGGGTAGATGATTGGTTCCATACTTTTGTAGGTTACAATATTTTATTTGACTTTTACCCTTTTTTATTTAGTGAGTCTCTCTCTCTTTTTTTAATCTAGTCTTCTTATTAGTGAATTAAGGGAAATAAGGAATGTGCCCCATTCAACCTTTGACATGTAGGGAGAAAATACCCGCATAGCACTTCCTTATTTGCAAAGCACTTTTATGCAAATTAGTTCATTTGATCCGTACAACAACCTTGAATGGCAAGCATTACAGGTGATCTAAAACTGAGGCTTGGAGGCAGTAAGTGACTTGCCCAGGATCATACACCTAGTTAATGTCAGAGAGGTTTAAGCTTGACCCCAGAAATGACAAGATAAAATGCAACCCTATTTCTTCTTTGTAGAGATGTAGGATGAGGGGTATGAAAAAATGTATATGCTGTCAGACTCCATCCGTATGTTAGTTAGTTTTGCTGAACTGCTTTTTTTTCCTTCTTCATTATTCTGTGCTATAAGGGATGGCTCGCTGGGAAGGAAATATTCAAAAATGAAAGTGATAGAAAAACAATATATGAATAAAATATTTGCTGGTTAATTTTGTTTGTTACAGAAGTAGTTATGTGGGACGGAGGATTGAGATCTGGGCCTAGAATCAGGAAAACCTAAGTTCAGATCTATCCTCAGACACTTATTGTGTGGCTCTGGGCAAGTTACAAACACCATCTGCTTCATTTTCCTTATCTGCAAAATGAGGATAATAATAGTACCTATCTTCCAGGGTTGTTGTGAGAATCAAATGAAGTAATATTTGTAAAGAACTTCACTCAGTGCCTGACACAAGTTGTTCAGTCATTCAGTCATGGCTAACCCTTCAGATCACAGCATGCCAGGCCCTTCTATCCTCCATTATCTCCCAAAATCTGTCCAAGCTCACATTCATTGCTTCCATGACACTATCTTTCTATCACATCCTCTGCTGTTCTCTTCTCCTATTGCCTTCAACCTTTCCCAATATCAGCATCTTTTCCATTGAGTCCAGTCTTCTCATCATATGGCCAAAGTATTTAAGCTTCCGCTTCAGTATTTGACCTTCCAGTGAATAGTCTGAATTAATTTAAGTATGGACTGATTTGATCTCCTCACTGTCCAAAGGACTCTCATGAGTCTTTTCCAATACCACAATTTGAAAGCATCAATTCTGCAACGTTCAGCTTTCCTTATACTCTAACTCTCACAGCCATACATTGCTACTGGAAAAACCATAGCCTTAACTACATAGACTTTTTGTTATCAAGGTGATGTCTCTACTTTTTAGTATGCTGTCCAGAT